AGCTGCAGAGGGCATTATTTTACTGATCTCACAATTCACATGAGATCAGCGGGTCTTAGTTATTAGTGAGACTGTCCAAATTAGAAATATATGGATTTTCGATACGAAATCAATAAAACAAAGCATACAATACGATACAAAAGCAACAGCAAGAGACTTTACTAAGCGTGTGTTGAAATAGGGAACCACATTCTAAAAATGAAGGTGTAGGAAGTAAATACTTGCGTGATAATGACCGAGAATGATCGTGAGGTCATTTTTACGGCTCGGTATTATCCGAGTTACACTATAGTTGGTTAGAGCTTTCGCTGACGTTGAGGTGGAAAAAACAAGCCAATATCGAGTTTTGTAGCCACAATCGCCCCGGAATAAAGCAGTAAAGGATCACAAGATAGTTAAGTGTCATCAAACAAATGATACGACGTATTCCAGGGTGATCTGCTGAAGACTCAACTAGTTTCGGCCGAAATTAGTTGAGTCTTCAGCAGATCACCCTGGAATACGTCGTATCATTTGTTTGATGACACTTAACTATCTAGTTACACTATAGAGTATAGTTGAAAGAATGTGGCATAACATGCAATAACTTGACGTGTAATATATGGTGCGGGAGGCCGAGAGTGTTGCACGCAGTAATCGATATGCGTATTCGGTATTGGTAGTGTCGGGCAGGATCTGCAGCCACTCGAGATTTAATTAGGATACATAAACACAAACAGAAACTTGGGTGCTGGACAACAAAATGCAATTATACAGGTAGGATGACTGAATCAATGCCCTGATTGGTTGGAGACTACGTCTTATATCTTTATAAAGGACAGCAACCGAAGCGCTATGACGCAAGTTTCTTCGGTTTTAAGGAACGTCACTATAAGTATTCACTCAAAGTGATCATATCGTCATCCACCAACATGCTCGTTACCGCCTAATGAGTCTCATTATTGCTCGCTAGCGAATAGCTCCCGATGAGATTACTGATTGGGTGACGAAATCACTGATTAGGTGCCAAGATCACGTATCTGCAATATCACAAAAGGGTCATTACTTGGTTAAATTTCCTAGCTGAAAGCGTTCTCACTTTATGGTGACAATAGCAAAAAAGAGGGATTGGCGTGCCACACCCACTTTAATTAATTAAATTTGACGAAACTTTCAGGAAATCTAAGTTTGACCCATATCTATAATCTCTGAAATTTGTGAGTAATTCTAAGAAGAATTACGTGAGTAATTAAAGGGTTGCGTGTGGGCAGTTACTTTTGGGCACCCTGTAATATCGATTACTACCGCTGCATCGACTGTATTAATTGAGTGAGACAAATTTAATACGTAAGCACGTTAGTGAGCAGTTACCGCATAGAGAACCGCATAGATAACTGAGAATTATACAACCGTGAAACACCATTACATTACAGTTAAACCTCCAGCAGATATGCGATACCTACGAACTTACTAAGGGACAAGTCAGAGAGACAAGACGTCATACTCATGTAATTAAATGATGATAATATGTGTATTATAAAGTGTCAAAAATAACAAACAGTGTACATGATCATTCAACATTTAAGGATAGTGTAATAATTGGAAAGTTATAGCACGGTCTAAGTACTAGTGATGAATGAAAGGAAATAACTAATAAAAGTAGGAAATATCGCTTCGAAATTGAAAATAATCAATTATCAATGTGATAATGTAACATAAAGTCCTTGAACTAAAATGAAAAACGCAATTTAATGTACTGAAATGAACAATGCCTCGTAGTGAGTGGCACACTGTAACACTGTTACAATATAAATACAATTGCTTACCCTCCACTCCCCTCTTCATAATTTTAAGTTGCCTTTTACCCATTCTAAAATGTCTTGTTTTTTGGCTTTAATCCGTAAAAATGACTTTCCTTCATTAATCACTCATCCTCACACTTTACTGTTCAAGCGTATTTATTATTATTATATATTTTCAGTAAAGAAGATAAACTAGAAGAAATACCTAGTGCTCCAGTACATCACGTGAGCACTAACTTGCACCACCAGTTTGTAAACTTGGAGATTCAATAATTCGGAATTATTACGGGATCTTGTTAATTTGATCTATACCATTGTGACGGTGAGAAGGACGAATACTGAGTCTTGTTTAACACTTTCTCAGTATTTTTAACAGAGCTATAACAAGTGCTCTGAGTCCTGGATTTCGTTCTCACTCTACTAAGACTAATTAAATTAATGAGTTAAGCTAGCAATTTGGACCTGCCCCTGTAATATTAAGAACTAAGAATATAGAAAAATCCTTGCACCATTCACACACCCGTAAGAATTATAACACAGTTTTCAGTATGGGCCCAGATTTACACCACTACTGTAAATCTCATTGTCGTAAACTTGGCCTTTTTGCTAAGCACAGTAGACAAAAACACTTAGACTAGCCCAAGTGTGTAGACTAATTGTGGAGCCTGATCACTAAATCCTAAGGGTGCAGCAACACCTTTATAAGACTACCACTATAGCATTATCTTCACAACAGTTGCAATGAATCTTTTCAGCTACCTTCTACTCGGAGGTCTCCTTACGACAGTAACTTGTACGATATTCTACGCAAAGGCTGGAGCTGAAGATGGTGACGGATCCTGGTCAGCCCCCTTTGGAACGATCCAGGAGTGGTAACGAAGCAAGAGGTGGAGACGAGTGTCAGAATCAGGGAGGGAGTACCACGAGGACGGTTGAGATTAAAGGGGTTAGGGGATGGGCTATACGAAACCCACCCTTATAAGGGATACGGGGATGAGAGGCCACCTTCTTGATGGAACTGTGGAGATCAAGCCTAAACATGGTGACTGGAGATTATGGGGATATCTACTATGGTGAGATCGAGGAGACAATATGGCAGCTCTTCTACGATGATCAGATGATGACGAACGCTAGGTGGCCAAACGCAAAATGGTCAGATAAGACTGTATTCGACGGAACCAACATTGGGCAAAGACATCGAAGAACTCTGAAAAAGGAAAGATCATTAGCTTAACGATGACTTGAAAGACAGTGGTTTAAACATGACCGGAGCAATAGGAATCCTCAATATTGGATCATGGAATAGTTTCATGACTAAAATAGACCATCACACTCCGGGAAGCAACGAGTTCACATATACAGATACATTTGGAAAACTACGCTACCAAGTGGAAGCATTCTAAGTACTATTTGGAGGACAAACTGACCTTCTGGACGCTCCTGAAGAGTGGTTCTTCAACAAAGATACCAAGTACTCTACTTTAACCCTCCAGTCGGCGAAACCTTTACCGAGGTTACATCTTCCCGTGGGAAAGTTATGAGCTATGCGATGAAGATATCAGACAGCTACAATGTTGAAGTAAAGAATATTGACTTCTTTGGCACAACAGTAAAAGCAGCCGCCAACAAAGCAGCTAGAACCGGTATCAACTGGCTGAGATTTGATTCTCTTAACTTCAATTTCCCCTGCGCCTCAAAGCGTATGCTTCAAGAAGTGAGCCTATCAGAGTGCATGGTGGTAGATGGAACAGGAAATGAGGATGGAAAGATGTGGGTCAACAAACGAACCTATACATTCTTCAACAACACGTTCCATGGTGCAGACGGTAAAGCACTGGCCTACAGTGGGTCCCACATCACCTTGCAGAACAACCTGTTCGAATACAACGACTGGACTTCAACTAACAGTTTAGTGGGCGATGGAGGGCATGCTACCGTAGGATCACAGAGCATAAACGATGTCATGATCCGAAATACCCTTAGAAACAACGGGGACGGAGTTGGACTTCGACCGGGTAGAGAAAACGGAGTAGTGGCCTACAATGACGTCAGTGGTACCTGCTTTGGAATGCAGAGGTTGGACGGAACCGCAATACAGCTCGCTCAAAAGGCCCAAACAAACTCCACTGTTACCCACAACTGGGTACACGACTCCCCTAAATATGGCATTAGATTCGACGGCCAACCACCTGCTATCGGAACACACGGTACGGTGAAGAATAACGTTGCATTCAGGTTGGATGCTGGTGGCTTGCAACTTAAGGGCGACTATCACGAGGCGGACCACAACTTAGCGTTTGACACCCTGGACGGAACAGTACGGCAATTCCCTGCTGTTCTCTGTGTTTGTGGAGGCATGTCAGAGAGAACCCTGGTGAGATGAATGCTCACTCTGTGGCAACCAACAACTTGGCTGATATTGCGTCTGGAGGTAGGAAGTATAACTTTGAAACAGGTAAACCATTACGACCACCACAGACTTGGCCGCTACATGGAGAGATTGTAAAGAACAACAAGGTCACACCAGACCTCAAGCACCTGCTCCATGACCCAGATAACAGTGACTTCAGGGTCCTCCGAAAGTTCGCAGATTCGATGGGAGATATAGGACCGTACCGATACCAGGAGAAGATGACCGAATACTGGATACCAGGGAGAATCCTCTACAAGCCCTCATCTCCAGTCCCTCCAACCCACTCCACCACTGTTAACAGGGTTAACCGTGATGCCCTGATGTGGTTAAACGCCTGGAGCTGCTCCAAACACCACGTTTACTTCAGCTACGACAAGGAAATGGTCTCCAACGCAAGTGGGATAGAATCAGATTCCTATGTAGGAACAGCAGATGAAGGAGGCAATGTGGTGTACCTGGGCGAGGAGCTGGAGACGCAGGTTACTTACTACTGGAGGGTCGATGCTGTGAGGGAGGATGGTGTTGTGATCAGAGGTGATGTCTGGGATTTCACCACTTTTGGATACTAACAAGCGTGAAGCGTTGTGAATATTATTTGTTTTTGAGTTTTTGGGTGCAATGAGACTGTGGTTTTAACTTTTATTTTGTTTCTTGATTACGTATCAAATATACCTGTCTACCAAAACAAAACACTTGCCAGGAATTTAAAAATGCAAGATAAAATACTTGAAATTAATATAACAATGCGTGTCGTGGTTAAGTAAGTGTATATAATAATACAACAAACTAATTTATATAATACTCACGATATCACACAAGTCATCCCTGAAAAATTATCAGTTATTATTAAACTAAAAATATCCAAAAGTTTGGAAAATTACCAATCTCGCCGTTTTACTGTTTTAGAGTGGACTGAGATTGAGTAAGATTAAACAGTTTAGGCCTACTGTGAATATGAATGAACATCGTAGACACTTGACACAATTAAGTGATAACTTAGATAAAACAAGAATTTAAAAACGTTATGATACGACAGCGGGCTACACTGAACGTTTTACTTACTCAAATACTACGCTCTTCCTTCTCTCCTTATCAGGCTCCTGGTAGATAAGAGTTGGTTAATCATGGTAGATAAGAGTTCGTGAATCGTGTGAGACTTAAAAGTTGAAATCTATTTCTTAGAAAAGTTGAAGGGCCGTGGAATGTTAGAACTGGAATTTGAACCGTGGTGGTTTAAAAAACAAAAATCTCAGAGAACAGTTGTCTCTTTGTTGTTCAAATAAAACATTGACATCTGTATTATATTTTATTACCTTACTGACAATGAGTGGACTCAGTCATGAACGATCACTATGCTTAACAACTCTATAATGACCACAGTCTTCTCCAAGATTCACACTAAACCACCAACATGACAAGATTCACAGCAAAACAGAACGCTCACATCGAATAATCACACAGCCCATCTCTAGTGGTGATGATTATCTCTTGTTATAATATAACTTAAACCACACGTCGCTAACTCCGCGAGCTGCTGCCTGATATTGTGCGGTGAATGATTTATTGCTTGTTATGTCGTGTAAGGATCACGTGGTGATCATGTTATCCTCACGTGATATTCACGAAAAATCATTAAAACGAATCCGTTTTAAGAAAAAGTATTGAGTGCCAGATATTTCGGATACATCATTATTAACTTATTAAGTTGCATCAAAATAGCATCATGCACTCAAAATACAAGTTGTTTTGCAGTGTTGAATGGAAGTCACGTGATGGCCAAACAAGCCTCTCGTGTAGCCGGTAGAATGTGAAACTGCACTAAGTACTGCAGTATGCTTACTGCTTTAGCAGTGTGCAAGTGTGTACAAGCATGTAATCATTGATTGGAGTAGAATAACTGTGCAATGTTGTGCTCCAGAGTTAATGATGAACAGCGTGTGTGAGAACTTGTCCAAGGATCCAAATTTTAACAATTGGTCAGTATAAATTTTAAGAGAACATAACAAAATGAGAATGTAACAAATTTGCAACGATAATAACAGAAAACAACAATTTTCAAAACTCAGGATTAACAAACAAAGATGAAAAATACCTTATTATGATTAGTGCATTTCCTAGAGTACACCGTCTCTCCATTTCCGTTCGTCATCACGTGAGCATTCTCCAAACTCTCCATCTTCTTTTCAGCACCGTCTATCTCAACCTTCTCCACTATAGTCTGGTTGTGCTCTATGACAGAGAATATGGGGAGGTCCTTAGCTATACGGGATAGCCAGAACAGTGTTACTGCTATCTTATTGTTCCTTCGCTCCAGCTCCAAGTCGCTGAATTTATTTAGTACCTTATTTCATCTGATAAATTAATTTTTAAATTAATAAAAGGATTACCAATCAGCTTCTACTGTCGTGCGTCAAGCTAATACCTCCCTACCAGATACGGATTAGAATTTGGGCCTAATAAGGCTCCACATTAAACTCACTCATTCCCGAAGTAATTTTATATCATATGGTTCGAACAACATGTCTTCTTTTAACCCAACTCTTCGGCACCCATCCAAGAAAAACTGTACATTTTCCTGTAAATAATTTCAAACATTTCAAGTCTCGTAATGCAAAAAAACAAGAAACTGCTAAAACAGATTAAAAAAGAAAACAACTATAACTCAACTATGACTTATGAGTAACTAACTAAAAGTCAAAATTAGTGAACAAATTATCCTATTATGAACATTTTATAAGGATGACAGGAAAATTTCCTTCACTGTTTCGAATGAATTTTTTCTTCAATAACCTATTAATGAGTTCAATCATCAATGTAGATGGTACAAGACACGATTGAGGTATTTCCAAAAAAAGCTTTGATAAACGGAAAGAGATTTTGGAAGATTTTGATGCTATGAAAATTTTGAATATGTCCTACCAGTAGGACATTTTCAAATCTCAGCTTTCCGCGACCCAAATTTCACTGTTTTGACTGAATTTTTCTTGAATGACCATCTTACAAGGTCACTGAGGTGGTCACAAAACACCATTGAGGTACTTAAAGTTCTACTCCCAAAGAAAACTTTGAATAAACGGAAAATCATCAGAATATAAAAAGAGATTTTGGAAGATTTTTGAAGAGGAGCTTTTCTGCCATCCCCTTGACCGAAATTTCGAGGTTTTGACTGAAATTTTTACCACTGATTAATCAGTGAGGTCGGTGAAAGTGACACAAGTCGCCATCAAGGTACTGGAAGCAGTATATCCGGAGAAAACTTTGATGCTATAAAAAATTTTGAATATGTCCTAACAGTAGGACATTTTCAGATTTCCGCGACCCAAATTTCACATATTAGGCAGGATTGGCGATTAATTTTTGCAGGAATCAGATACTGGAAGCTGAATTTGTGGAGAAGCTTCAATGAAACTTTGCAAGGTAACTTGTTCACTTATTCTATTCACAGTATAATCACACTTAATATCAGTCTAGAAGCTTTACTCACAAGCCAGGTAATCGGATTTCTCCCTACGTTAACAAATGGGATGGTGTTTGGAATGACTTTGTTTATGATCCTGAAATTGATGAATTACCACTAAAATTGACGGTTCACCTCCATATGCAAATTGACTAATCGAATAATTTCATGATTTAAAAGAAAACTTGGAGATTAATCAATTATCAGTTAAGTTTGGTAGAGCAAGAGACGCGAAATCTCGAGGTTCTGGGATCATTCCCAGTTGTCCCTAGTTTTTCAGAGTTAATCATCACATATAGACAGCATGAGAGTAGGGCCTGGCCTCCGAAGTGATTTTAAATTTTCCCAATTTAAAGTTAGTGTTGACCCCCAGTGGGAAAAACGTGGGGCCCCCCACTGCCCTGGGGGGCCCGGGGGGGGGGGGGGGGGGGGGGGGGGGAAATTGTGGGATTAAATGTGGGACATTTTAATACTAGAAAAACCTATATGTTTTGCCTAGAAAAACACTTTTTTTGTTTTTTTCCCGGGCTTTATTTTTAAAATCACCTAAATTTGGGAAATTTTCGTTTTATTTTCCCGGGGGAGGGGGGGGGGGGGGGGGGGGGGCCAAAAAAAACCCTTTCCCCCTGGTTGAGGATTGTTTAAAATTTTACTTAAATTGAAAATTTAAATAGTTTATCCCCTGCTTTGAAAATGCGTCGAAAGCGTTTTCCTTGAAGTCCAAAGGGTCGTTCCCGGCTTCTTGCTGAACCAGCCGGAAAAATGGGGTTTTAAAGGTTTAAAACCCTACTTTATAAGGATTCTTTTAAAATTAAAAGAGTTGGGCCCGATAAAGATGGTTGACATGAAACCAGAGAGGAAACGAGGCCCCCCCCAAAATCCTTTGGTGTTTTAAAGTTTTTTGCGAATTTTCCCTGCCATAAACACTTAAAATACTATGATCTACCCTAAACCCCAAAAAAAAAGGGGACCCCGTAATATAAAAATTTTAGGGGTTTCCCTAACTAAACAATTTTTCTATTTACTTTTAAAGGGGTCAAACTATTTTTAAAAAAAAATTTTAAATACAAGTGAAATTTAATAAATGATTTCCCAAAAAATATTCTCCCCTTTTCCTTACCCGGGCTTTTTAAGAGTTTTTGTCCCTGCTTTCTTGGTGTAAACCCCCACCCCTTTGAAATACTTTTGGTTGTTGTTACATTTCCCAACCTTACCTATTTCAAAACTTTTTCATAAGTAACCCTGAAAATTTAAGGGGCCCTTTTTCCTTTTCAAGGGGGGATGCCTAAAATGGGCCTGTGGGGTGCTTTCCCAAAATGGGGCTTGTACCACGTATTGGAAAAGGGATAAGGGGGAATGTTTTACCCCCCAAACCCCCCAACAATTGAAAGGGGGGGAAGGGGGGGTTAAATTTTTTTTAAAGGGAAAGGGGGGAAATTGGGCCCAAACCCAAAATTTTAAACCCAAAAACGGGTTAGTACCTCCCAGCCCAAAATTCTGGGGGGGTTTTTATTGACATACTTGGGGAAACCCCACCAAATTTTTATGTTTTAATAAGGTGTTTAGAAAAAAGGATTGATCCCCATTTGCCTTTGCTTAAAATTAACAGTAGAAGAAATTCCTGAAAAAAAAGGTTAAATCTAATTCCCTGATCTTTTCCCCTGTATATAAACAATAAATTTAAACAAAAAAAGGACATAATATGTAAAATTTCGAACCCCCTTTTTTTGGGGTTTTGGTTGGTGGGGGGTTGCCAACAAAGTGGAACGTGTAAGGGGAAACCGGGTGATTTGATTAAAATTTTTTTATAGCAGTTTCTAGACGTTACCCTTCAAAAAGGGGCCATTTTTTATAAATTTTAAAATTTAATTTTGATTGTTATTGTTCCCAAGTCTGTAAATGGGGTAAAAGCATAATTAAATTAAAAATTTTGGAATTTTTATTTAATTTTTTTAAAACCCTTTTCCAAGGGGGGTTAGGGCATTTTAAACCAAAAAAATTTTAATTTGTTTTTTTTAATTTGAAATTCTTACCTAGTATTTTTTTTAAAAAGAAGCTGGCCTATAGGTACACGAAAAGTTAAAAAAAGGATTTTTTTGTTTTTTTTGTTGGGACCCTTTAAAAATAGGATGCTATGTTTTTTTTGTTTTTAACAAGGAACTTTGTAAAATTTATGAAATTCTAAAGTAAGTGACTTAATGAAATCAAATTTTTACAATAGACTTTTACCTGGCCCCCAAAACCTTGGGGGCTTTTTTTAAATCAATATTTTTTCCAAAACACTGAATGTGTAGATGTAATTTTAACCCTAATTTTTAAACCAACAAAAAATTTGGGGGGTGGGTCTATTATTTAAAGGTGTGTCCCCAAACTCTGCAGCGTTGTCCAAAAAGGGCCATTTTTAGATCTAACGTGTTTAAATTTCCCAAAAAAATTTTTTTAAAGTCCCAAGGCTCCCGGGGCAATAGTAAAGGTTTTTTTAGAATTAGCCTCTGCGGGGAACCCAGTATTATTTCTTGATGCAATTATTTTTATCAAAATGTCAATTTACAAAATGTAAAAAAAACCCTAAAATAATTTAAAAACCCAAAAATTTTTCCTTTTTAAAATTTAAATTTTCCCAAAAATTTCAAATTACTTGTACTCAAGAAATAAAGTTAAACAATTTACCCAAAAACCCACGGTCACTAGAATTCTCTCAAATGGGAATTTCATTAATCCGCAAAAAAGTTTTTCCAGAGGTAAACCCTTTAGGGGTCCAGGAGGTTAGTTAATTTTGCTTTAAATTTAACCTTTTAAATTTCCCCAGGGCTTGTGTATAAAGCGAAATGATTGATATGTTAGATTGATACGATTCTTTAACCCCTTTAAATATAACAACGGTGTATTTTATGTCCCAACACAGGGGGTTTAACATTTTGGGCGGATTAAAATTTTCCCAAAGGCAAAACCCCTCCAAAGGTTTGGTGGGGGTTTTATGGAGCAGGGAAAAAAAGGGATAAAAAATTGGGAGTTGGGGAAAGATGTCGGGGGTAAAGGGGAAAACTGGGGCCCGGGGGGGAATTGGGGGGGTTTTGGGTGGAGACTACAAAGGTTGCAATTGAATTGTCACTAGAAGAATGGTCAAAGATAATGGTTGGAACTTTAATCACACATCTAGACCAAGGGTGTTTGAGAAAGACAAAATGATATGGCCTATGAAAGGTATGTTATTTTTGAAGATATAAGAAGAAATCAAGATGAAGAAGTCGCAGACTTCATGATTCGTTTTGACCGTGCTATGAAACAAGCTAAAGCTATTGACATTACTTATCCTGATAATTTGCTTGCTTTCAAATTGATGAGGTCCATGGATCTGAGTGCTGATGAACAGAAAATGATCATGACTGCTTGCACTGATATTAAATATGACTCAATGCAGTCTGTCATCAAACGTATCTTGGGTGGAAAAACCAGCACATGTGGATCAAATGATATCAAAATTAAGCAGGAGACACAAGAGTCGTTCTATGCCAGACAAGGACAAAAGAACTACCAAAACTACAGATCAGGGAACAAATTCAGCTCAAATAATAATCAACAGTATTACCCGAACGGTAATCAGCAGCAACATCAGGGCAAGAACAAGTACATAAATCGAAAGGACAAGTATGGGAACATAATGTTGTGTTTGATATGTGATTCAAAGTATCATTTGGTGCGAGAATGCCCACGCAAAAGTACACCATCCTTCTTTACACGCTCAGTCCAAGGAGAGCTGGAAAGTGAACCTAATCTGGAGAGGCAACTTGGTTCCAAACCGGCTACTAGCCGGCACTTAGAAAGTGGTCACTAGCCGGCTACTAACCGGCTACTAACCGGCTAGTAACCACCAAGTGGCTACTAACCGGCTACTAACCGGTCACTAGCCGGCTCTTAATCGGACCTACTAGTAGCCGGTTCCAAACCGGCTACTAGCCGGCACTTAGAAAGCGGTCACTAGCCGGCTACTAACCGGCTACTAACCGGCTAGTAACCACCAAGTGGCTACTAACCGGCTACTAACCGGTCACTAGCCGGCTCTTAAGCGGACCTACTAGCCGGCACTCGAAAAGCGGTCGCTAGCCGGCTACTAACCGGCTACTAACCGGCTAGTAACCACCAAGTGGCTACTAACCGGTCACTAGCCGGCTCTAAAGCGGACCTTCTAGTTCCAAACCGGCTACTAGCCGACACTTGAAAAGCGGTCACTAGCCGGCTACTAACCGGCTACTAACCGGCTAGTAACCACCAAGTGGCTACTAACCGGTCACTAGCCGGCTCTAAAGCGGACCTTCTAGTTCCAAACCGGCTACTAGCCGACACTTGAAAAGCGGTCACTAGCCGGCTACTAACCGGCTACTAACCGGCTAGTAACCACCAAGTGGCTACTAACCGGTCACTAGCCGGCTCTAAAGCGGACCTTCTAGTTCCAAACCGGCTACTAGCCGACACTTGAAAAGCGGTCACTAGCCGGCTGGTGGGTACTAGCTGGTTAGTAGACGGCTACTAACCGGCTAGTACTAACCTGCTCTAGGCGACTCTAAATCAGACCGGCTATAATTCATTATTGCCAAATAAACAAATTATTTGAAACAAATTATTTGAAACTTGTTATTTGAAACTTGTTATTTGAAACAAATTATTGAAATGAATTATTTGAAACAAGTTATTTGAAACACGTTATTTGAAAGTAAGTTCCAAAATCGATTACAACATTTTTATGAAAAATAAAAAAATACTGAAAACTGATTACATTCAATTTCTTCGTGGTGGAGGAGCAGTGTAATTGTTTTTGGGCGCTAGGACGACGCCTTGGGTACAAAGGGTCCTAAGAGTGGCAAGATTACGGTTGCAGATCTCGTTTGCGAAGGTGTAAACACTAGGAAGTCTGACGTCTCGTAGTTGCAGCAGTGCGTGTTGGACACCTGGTAGATCAACTTTTGCTGCTTCAGCGATACATCGCTTTCTTGAGAAGTGACTCCGAGAAATGTGTATCTGCTCCAGAGCGGCAGACTTTGAGAGACCAGAGTTGACTAGCTGCACAACGGCGTCGTATTCCGCTATAACCCCGTCTAAAGA